CCTTTTATTGTTAGGCAAGAGGTTCTGGATTCTAGTGTTGACAATTTCTAATTGCAGTGCTATGATTTATGAAATTGGACACTAATGATGTAATTCCTCGTACTTAGGCCAACCAAAGAGGCATCTCCTGACGACAGGATGGAGTGTGTTTGTAAGTGCGAAGAGACTTGTTGCAGGCGACTCAGTTATCTTTATCTGGTAGATAAATATTATCCTAGCTATTGCAGTTTCTTTAGAAGTTTCTGTAAACCATTTAAGACTCACAGTTGATGTGTATATGTGTTCATAAATTGTATTTATCTGAGCTGCGGATATGATAGTGACTGTTCTGTTGCTCGTCTTGTATATCCAATGAGGCTGCCGATTGAATAAACTTGTTATTATTTGTCTTTCCTGAAAAGGTGCACATTGAGCAGGTGGTTCTGTGGGGTCTGTTACATTTGCCTATGGTCTTTCCTTCCCTGATATAATGCGCAAACATTTGAAATCTCCACGTTTGTGTTGTATACTTGAGAAAGTTAAATATTTACTGCTCGGATATTTTACAGCCAAGTATAATATTTTAAGTTCATGAAGATTAGGACTGTTTAACAATTTTTACCTATCAGCATGCTGTCTATATTGGGTGATGGGTGCTGATGTACTTCTTGCTTCATTTTGCAATCAATAAACTCTCTTGTTTCACCCTCTCAATTTTTTAGATCAATTTTTTCTACCTTCACAATGTAGGGGTAAGGTTTGTGCAGACCCCACTTGTGGAATTACACTGGATATATTGTTATTATTGTAATTTAATCTGGCTAAATTCCGTCATCTCCCATCAGGAATGAAAATAATCAATTACTTTTGGGGATACGACGTGCCAATCGTCCGCAAACTGTTTTACCTTCCTCGGTATTGTCAAGTGATAGCATGCACATTGGTCTTCTAGCTGCTGCAGCTCATGCAGCTGCAACAAATAGCCGGTTTACAATATTTTTCAATCCAAGGTAAAGGCTGCATTTCTAGTTTACTAATGGACTTAAGTTCACATTGACATTTTATCTTTGCAATTTCAGGGCTTGTCCATCAGAATTTGTCATACCTCTCGCCAAGTATGCTAAAGCAGTGTATCATACGCGAGTTTCTGTTGGCATGAGGTTCCGAATGCTATTTGAAACAGAAGAATCAAGCATCCGTAGGTAGGTATAATCTCCTAGAATTTTTTTGCAAGCATTCCAAATTACAAGGTCAGTTGGAGAATCAAATCTTTTATTGATAAGGAGGGACATTACATTGAAATGGGAGGGGGTGGGCCAGGGGCTAGTACCAATTTCTCAATAGTTATTGGTGTGAAAGTATTTCAAGGCATCTTTGAAAATTATAGCCAATTTCGTCTAAAAATGTTCTTGTTAAAATAAGGGAAATGTTAGGAGAGTAGGAGAGCATAATTTTGGATGGAGCTGCTGTCTAAATTTCTCCTCTTCAAAAAACGTTGTGGTTACTAATCCTGTTTGGAAGAAATGGATATGCTATGTTAAATTAGTTTCAATCTAGGATGATCCGAGTTCCAGAGTTGTTTATGTTTTTTATCAGAAAAGGAAAGAATTAGAGTTGTTTATATTCAGTTTTTCTGCCTTCTATTTTTGCCACAGTTCGTGATAATTTCACAAGAGAAGAAGATAACTCTCTTTTCTGTTTGTCATCCCCTTTTCTCTCTAATTGATACAAATAGTTTAATTATGTGAATATCTTTGGTCTCAGGTATATGGGCACAATTACTGGCATCGGTGATCTAGATCCTGTTCGTTGGCCAAATTCTCATTGGCAGTCTGTAAAGGTTAGTTCATAGCAGGTGGTCATTTAGTACTAAATAATACATTGAAACTATGGCTGCTTAAATCCTTTTAATACTTGAGGATTTCTCATGTGCATGATGTCCATTTTGGTTTAGAATTTCATCTTCGATCCTCTTAATATGCAGGTTGGATGGGATGAATCAACTGCAGGGGAGAGGCAGCCTAGAGTTTCACTGTGGGAAATTGAACCTCTGACAACATTTCCAATGTATCCATCTCCTTTCTCCCTTAGGTTGAAGCGGCCATGGCCACCTGGACTGCCTTCATTTCCTGGTCTGATATATTTTTTGCTGTTCTTACCGGGGATATCTGTAATCATCAATTTGATTCAGTTGTAATTTTAACTCTTCACTATCTTCTCATCCATTTAGGTCTATCAAATGGTGATATGACTATGAATTCTCAGCTTCCATGGCTGCATGGTGGCATGGGTGATCAGGGGATACAATCACTTAATTTCCAGGGATTTGGTGTTACTCCATTCATGCAGCCAAGGTTCGATGCTTCTATGCTAGGTTTGCAGCCTGACATTTTGCAAGCAATGGCAGCATTAGATTCTTCTAAGCTTGCAAATCAGCCACTTATGCAGTTCCAACATATCCCTAGTACTTCAGCATCTTCGATTCAGAGCCAGCTTTTGCATCCATCCAATTTGCAACATACTTTCCTCCAAGGCCTCCCGGAGAACCAACTAATATCTCAGGCACAGATGCTGCAGCAGCAATTGCAGTGCCACCAATCTTATAATACTCAGCAGCAACAGTTGCAGCGCCAGC